TTTTAAGAGTCAAGAGTGATATGCATTTTTATACATACATATATATATATATATATATATGTAAAGAGTGCATATTAGTCCCTATTTAAAAAAAAAAAAATCCTAACCTACATTTGGAAACTGAAATTTCAATTCAAAATTCAGAAATCCATTTTATTAAATATGGATACATGCATTTGGAAACTAAAAACTCAATTTAAAATTTAAAAATCCATCTTATTAAATGTTTATATTTGGATTTGGAAACAAATTATATTAGAATATATAATCAATTTCTAAATTTAGGTATTAATAAAGTAGATTTTTGAATTTTGAATTAGATTTTAACTAAATGAAATGATCTTATTAAATGCTGAGATTTTAGTTTTTGTTTTTTGTGTCCGAATTGATGTGCACTTTCCTCATATATATATATATATATATATATATATATATAAAAAGTGTTGATTCCTACATTTGAAGTTGAAAATTTAATTCAAAATTTAAAAATTCATCTTATTAAATATTGATATATAAATTTGAAAAACGATTATATTAGAATATATAATTAGTTTCCAAATTTATGTATTAACATTTAATAAAGTAGATTTTTAAATTTTGAATAAAATTTTAATTAAATGAAACAACATTAATTTTTTTTTGAAATCGGGACTAATATGCACTTTGCCCTATATATATGAGTAAAGATCCACTTAAACACATCTTACATCTCAATTATTGAAAATAAAGAAATAAACGATCGAGATTTTATATAAATGTAGTATATAAGAATCGTATATAAGTAAATCTTTTATATATATATATATATAAGAATAGTGTGTATTAATTCTAATTCTAAAAGAAAAAAAATTAGACTCCCAACTTTAAATGACATCATTTCATTTAATTAAAATCTAATTCATAATTCAAAAATCCACCTTATTAAATGTTCATAATTGGATTTGGAAATTAATTATATTTCCAAATATATGAATAAACATTTAATAAGTTGAATTTTTGAATTTTGAATTGAATTTTAATTAAATGAAATGATATTAATTAAGCTTGGGACTTTAATTTTTTTCTAAGTTGGGACTAATATGCCTTTTCCCCTATATATGTCGAAAAGGGATCCAGTCACATGAAAGTCTTATATATTACATTTACACAAAATTTTGACCATTCATTTCTTTACTTTCAAAGGTTAAAATTTATTACAACTTTTTAGATAAAAAAGATAATTATCTTAATAAATGTGAATAAATCTCAACCATTAAAAATGCAAAGATGAATGATTGAGATTTTGTATAAATGTGATGTCTAAAACTTATACGTAAGTGAATTCTTACTCATATATATATATATATATATTTGTGTGTATGTAAATCTCTCTCTATAACATATTACCATTCTTTTATTATACTCTTGTCTCTATAATTCCTTCTTAGACATTCTATATATCTCAATCTATCATTATATATTTTATATTTTGTTTATCTTTTTATATTTCAACATGATTTTATTAAAAAGGTTTATATCAAAACATAAAATATACAACTCCTTATATTATGTCCCTAGTGCTTTTTCATTTGCTTTTACTTATCAAAACATATAGTAGTGTAAAATTTATTATAACTTTTTAGATAAAAAATAATTGTTTTTAAAAAAAGAAGAAGATAAAATGTAGATAAATTTCAACCATTTATAACGAAGAGATGAATAATCAAGATTTTGTGTAAGTAATGTGTGTAAGAATTTTATATAAGTAGATCCTAACTCTTTTTTTATCTCCTTTGTCTTTCATTCTATATTATTTCTTTCTTAGTCACTTTATATGTCTTTGTTTACCCTAATTGTTCTCTCTTTCATTGTTTATATATTATAAATGTTTTTAGCCAAAATATAAGAGCACTTCTTATATAACATTATTCTCTAGTTCCTTTTCTCTTATCTTTACTTCACTTCTCTTATTATTAATTTTTCTTGCAACTCAATCTCTTAACTTCTCACCCAACATTTTATCTTTATATTTATCTTTTTACCTTGCATTTGCTCTCTCCTTACCTTTATTGATTAGTGATTTATATATATTTTTATTATCTTTTATCCATTTATCATCGTCTCTTTATTGTTCTTTCTCAGTCATTACAGGCAATTGTTATCTATAACATGTATCTCTCTTTGTTTATATCCCAATTCTCTCTCACTATTTGTATTAAAAGCTTATTTTCTACACTTTTTTTCTTGTAAAGGTCTGCCTAATTAAATCTATTGCTTCATCTACCCATTAAAAATCCCAAAAAAAAAAAAATCAGAAAACAAAATAATGCCTAACAGATGTAAAAGTAATGGTTTATAAATTTACCAAACCAGCCGCTCCACACCCTAACCGACAGGACCTCTAACTCTGAAACGAAATACAAATATAAGTACTTTAAATATCACCTCACTTTCGATGTGGGATTCTATTGCACCCAAAATAAATATTTTGTGGCAGAGGTGGAGATGGTGCTGAATCTGGGTTTTCTCTGTTTGCATTCAGAGCCAGGCCAACTGTGTTCCTTTTCAGAGGGAGGATCTGGTATAAATCCGTTTGTATTTTAACTTTTAATTACAGGGATTTTTGTGAGGAGAGAGCCAGCTTCTTTTTGATCTAAAACCATCTTCCTCTCTTCTTCTCTGGTTGTCGGTCTTCATTGTTTCTTCTATAATCTCAAGAAATTTATGATTCTGACATCATTTCGGGTTGAAATTTTGTTTATTGATTCATTTCTGGATCATCCATGGGGGAAAGGAGACGCCTTGGTTGCATTATGGGTTGGGAATGGGAATAAGAAACTTGGGTTCTTCTCCTTCAGGTATAGCTATGACTCAGAATAACAGGGATAAACCCGAGAGGCTTTATCAAGTTTGGAAGGGAAGCAATGTGAGTTCTGATAAACCCATGTTCTGTCTCATTCCTTTTTATTATGTTTGCCTTTCACATTCAATCTGTATGTGGAGATCATGATCATTGGTTGTGGTTATTTCTTTCAATTTCATTTTCTTGATAAAAGGTTTCGCCTTTTAGTTGGCAGCTTATAATAGAGTTTTAGAATGGATATTGTTCTTCTAGTTAAGTGAAACTTGTTCTTATTTTATTTTTCTTGGCACGATTGCAGTGTCACCTATCTTACTCTGCTCACTTTGGGACTTTTGGTTGGAGTTCACCAATAGCAGACTAGTTATATTTGTCAGGCTTTCAGTAAAATACATGCCCTATGTCTTTTTCTTTTATAGTCACTGGTTTTGACTATTGCATAGCAAGTAGACCATGCTTTTGGTAAGGAAACAAGATATCAAAAGAAGGAAGCAATTGATCACAGAATAAAGAGATTGAGTAACGGTAAAAAATATCAGAAAAATGAAAACTATTGATTATAAAGCACAAGATGCACAAGATGGAGCAACATTGAAAGACAACACTCCGGAACATAAGTTTAGGCATATGTTAAGGATCTGAATTTACATTTGTATAGATATATATATATATATATATATGTATATTCTCTGCTGTCTTGTACGGAATAATACAGTAAATACAATTCAATATTCTCAAAACTGTCATTTCTTCAGTTTTCTTCAAGTTATTTGTTCATTATAGATAGTAATTAGCGGTAACTGATTAATCATCTCATTATTCATGAGAAAATAACACATTAACTGAAATGACCATTAAAAGAAAATGAAAAAACTTGAAACGATCGTTTCTTGGCACTTTTAGATTATGAATCCATGGACAGTTAAAGACAATCTTTTCACCTAGTGCCCTAAACCAAATTGGTTTGGCAGTCATGAGTTGAAGCTCACTATATAAAGTAATTTAGAAAGCCTTAGGGAGCTCAACCCAAAAAAAGAAGAAAAGGAAAAAGAGAAAAAATATATAAAAATCTTCTTACAACAAATTTTCATGCACACATTAGGTGCTTATAAGTTAAATCGTTTGATAAGCGGTGTGAAAAATATGATAGAATTTGAACTTTAAAAGGATAAGATATTTTAATTTGAGATTGAGTGAGTAGATGAAATCTCTTGAATATTTAAGATTAAAGTTTAAGTTTGAGAGTTATTTGAAAGATGAAATTCATTCATGCAATCAGAAACAAAAACAGCAAACTTTCACATTCTGAGAAAGATAAATATGCATAATGAGTGCATTTTTCTTCTGAGTGGCACATAATTAATTGGTAAATTTGTAAAATCAAATTTAAAGATGACAAAAAGCGTCTCTATTTGATGAATTTTCATGTTCCAAACGAGGAAGATAAGGATATATATATTTATATTTTGTTCTATGATACAAGAAACCGTTTTCTCATCTGGGACTCATCATTGCATGAGGTGCATCTTTAAATTAGTTGGTAATTGATAGAATAGTTCATATCATAATTAAGTCATATATTCTTCTTTTATTTTTCTTTGGTACTAACCTTCCGGTATCCAGAAATCATATTGGGTCCTGACTAATCCGGAATTGAGCCGGGTCGGACCCCATATGGGGGGAAGGGGAAGCTCTCCTAGTACCTGTTTTTCCATTCACAAGACTCGAACTCGAGATCTTGCTTAAGGGGAACCGAGCTCCTTCCACTCGGACCAACAGGTTGTTGGTATATTCTTCTCTTATTTTGTAACGTGGGATTCCCCACTTTAACTGGGAAGGCTTGACACATGAACTTCATATGTCCACAAAGGCAGATAAGCCCACTGGACTTGTACAGAGAAGAGGGGGCCTAGATGTAAAAGAGGAAGAAGAAAAGGGGCTTGAAGAAATGTGCTAAGCCTTAATTGACCCATTTTGATATATGTAAAAATTAATTAAGTAGACTTCAATACAAAATTTATATATAATTTAAAACTAATTGACCGTAAATAAAATAGTTGGTAAATTGCCTTATCTCTTAGTAAAAAATAACTAATAAACTTTATTTATAAAATTAATAAATATAATAATGAGGATAAATGCATTTAATAGTCTCCAACTCTTCTGACATAGAACACTTTTGTCCTTAACCTCGATTTCATTCCATCAACTAGGGGTGTTCATATCCGATCCAATCCGATTGATCCGACCTAAACTGATCCAATCCGATTAAAAACCAAACCAAACCGATATAAAATTGGGTTGGTTTGGATTATAAAAATTTAAAACTGATAT